TAACACAGTCCTAAACAGTAAACAAATGAAAAACTAAAAATTATAATGGCGAAGGAGTTATCTTTCCTTATTTACACCCACACAATCTATCAGCCAATCAGAAGCCAGTTTCTCTTTGCGTCCAAAAACTCAATATTAAACTCATTCTAGTTTGCTTACTGAGGCGTTCAAGAATGACATATTTTCGACAAGAGCCGTCTATTAAGACGTAAAGTTAACATCTTCAATCAAATTAAGCGGACTTTTCATTTAAGATAAGTTTGACTCCGCGAGCTAAACTAAAAGCTTGTAATCGCTTCTTTTTCTACTTGTATATGTTGTTGATTATAAATCTATTAAAAAATTATCCTCCGGCTTGTGTACATTAAATCATTTACCCATGAAAATACAACAAAACCTCTACTCCTGGTCCAAATAATGAGAAGGTGTGAACAACCTGACGATAATAATAAATGGGTTAAAAACAAAAGGAAACGCATAAGAAAACTGAATGAAATCCGTTAGACAACAGGCCCAGACACGTCTGACAAAAAAGAAAATGTCATCCTTTCAACATATTCAGTGTTTCCTGTCAGTGCATAACTGTAACCTACGCTTTCGTTTTTATATCGCCTCCTCTCCTTCTTACGCATATAGAATTCGATCAATGAAAATATTACGTTATTTAGATGAAGTCTTTCTAGAGCTGCGGTCGGCAACCTTTTGAACTTTATGGACCACTAAATGTATAATTTTTAATTTGGCGGATCACTAATCTGAATTTAGAAGAAACAAAAGATAATAATCAGAATACTTTTATTTTATTAATAGGAAATGCACCCATTAAAGGTAAAAAAAATTATAGTGTAATTATTTAAATAAAACAAAATTTGAATTTTGCAAGTCATGTTAGGTTATACTATGGATGGATGATGTCACATTTGTGTACTTGTGTACTCATGTGTTTTTTGAAAATATAAAGGTTTTGAACACACACACACACACACACACACACACACACACACACATATATATATATATATATATATATATATATATATATATAAGGCAGGATGTGTGTGTTTGTAACGAATGCACGGCCGCAATTTTCGACGGATTTGCACCAAAATTTACATGCACATGCTCTAAGTTAACGGGATGGCCAAAACTGACTTTGCATTTCCCAACCCCCATCGATAGTGGAAATAATCGATTTTTTCATGCTTTTACGGCAGTTTTCATGTAGTTTACGGCCATTTTCTACTGGCCAGAGTGAGAGCCTATAGCTGGCTGCCACGAATAGGCAGGAATATTCTATTGGCCAGCGTGAGAGCCAACAGCTGACTGACAAGAATGTTAACTATCATTCTAGCATGCAAAAAAAATTCGATAGCTGCATTCGTCACAAGTGGGAAAAATTTAAATCTGCATGGCACTTTACTCCAATTGGCTCATTCGCTTGCTTAAACTCAACGTTGATTCTGATTCCACAGAACTGGGTTGGGTGTGAAAATGTATTTGTTGTTAATATTCTTTTTTCATCCGGTTTTTCCAGTTACGAGTCTCTTTTTTAAAGCTGATCGTTTTGTATTCATTTTGTTTAGTTATTTTTTCGTAACAGATTTAATGTTTAGTATAGAGCTTAGAAAAAATTCGCAGTGTGAGATGGGCAAGAAGTAAGGCATGTAGCAACATCAGCACGGCAAAGGGCACTCCTTTAAAGGCAAGGAAAGGCAAAAATATTTTAAGTCAAGTGATAGCGATTGCTGTATGTGTTGTACGATTTATTAATCAAGCACGGGAAACGCCGGGCCATGCTGCTAGTACCATTTATAATACGTTTTGTTATTCGTCATTTATTAATCTGAAGCTTCATAAAAATTGAAATAATGCCCTAATTTTTCTGCGGAATATCAAAAATTTTTCACAGACCATCAGTGGTTCGTGGGTCACCGGTTGGCGACTACTGTTCTACAGGATGAAGTGCTTTATACAGATTTTGCTTTACAATTTCTCCGTCATTTACAAAACATTGTTCTGATACATAGAAATATCGACAATAAAATGGATTAAGTCCGACAATTATTTAAAATATTTTCTGCTTATACGTTATCTTCATAGATAAAATTTATAAAAGCAAATGTTCTGTTTTTTTAATTAAACAGTATTAATAACATTTACCGGACTGAATGTTCGAGAAATCTCGTAGCAAATATGCGTTCTCCAACAGGAATCTAACTTGTGTCCTACACAGAACCGTCATTTGATCTGACGTGCAATACCACATAGCTATAGAGAAGCGTCTGATGAACAAAGTTCAAATTGCTGTTTTTAAACACACAATCCCCGACGATTTTTCTCGATCGATCATGTCTCCTCACGAAACGATTCTTACTCCATTTCATTGTATATTGTCATTGCTTAAGTTAAGATGCATTTATATACTGTTATATGTAAGCAAATATATAGATATAGATCCGACAGTATGAAGAAAAATATACAGAAAAACAAACAAAAATCCTAATATGCAATTATGCTGTTTTAATGTTAATATAATGTCAACATCGGATGTTTCGGTCTAGTAGACCATCTTCAGGACATATTCATAAAACATAATTAACATTCTACTATATTTAATTCAACATGAAAAGACGATGGACATAAGAGTAAGACTAATCAAAACAGACAGCTGAAATTTTTCAAGATCAGCGTTCCGTTTCAATATGATCACGTCAGCGTCAAATGGGCGATGTTGTCAAAACGTATTCCTAAAATAGAGTATTTTGAATGAAAAATGAAAGGAATTTTATTTTAATCTAAAACTTATATGTACGTTTGTCGAGCATTAATCTTGCTAGAAAAGGGGAAATATTAAAGAAGTCGGGTCTAGTATTCACCGTGCGTGAGATAGATGCTTTTATATATAGAATTTATAATGTTTAATTAAAAAACAGAGCATTTAATTATATAAATTGTATGTATCAAAATAACCTATAAACACAATATAAAAATATATTAAATATATATATATATATATATATATATATATATATATATATATATATATATATATATATATATATATTATTATCGTGCACACATATATGCATACACACACACATATATATATGGCTCTATTTATGCTTGTTTGACGATGCTTGGTGATCGGAGGGGGAATGTACTTCTGTGTTTGTTTCGGGAGACACTCTCATACACATAGACACACATACATACAAGTGTACAAATTTTACTTCGCACCAACACATCCATATAAACAACCCGAGGTCATCCATACAACTGAATATGTTTGCTATATCACTGATATTGAGCGCTTTCCACTAAGTACTGCGCATATACATATATATATATTTACTATTAATATTATATATATATATATATATATATATATATATATATATGTTTCATTAAATAATATAGACAAGTGTTGTCCATTTATTTTATGTAAATTCTTTTCATAACGTGTGATAAGCTTAATAACATTATCATTAAACGAAGAAAGAAAATCACAATATTGATACATATTTTTAATCCAATCAAAGCTTTCGGCTTACAAAGATGACAATTACTGTACAATATTTTAAGCAATACACGGACAAGAATGTCATGATAGTCTGTTTTTGTTTACATGGATGATTTCCAAGCAACGATAAACACGTGCATATAAGACGCTGGATTAAAAATATGTATCAATATTGTGATTTTTGTGATATTGTGAAAAAATGCTGCCTAAATGCCCACAATTTATATATATATAAAAGTGAACATTGAAGTTAACACTCAAAGGCAACAGGCTGTTTCATGCTAGACGCAAATGTCATCATGACGATTGCCTCCAGCATGAAACAGCCTGTCGCCTCTGACTCTTGACTTCATTGTTCACTTTTATGTCTATATTTACATACGCTCTATCTCTGATATTGAGCACTTTATCCCATAAATATAGAACACCTTAAAACTATATTTCTTCATATATATATATATAAATATATATATATATATATATATATATATATATATATATATGTGTGTGTGTGTGTGTGTGTGTGTGTGTGAGAGGGGGAGAGAGAGATAAAGAGAGAAAAAAGAAAAATAAAGAAAGGATGCTTGTAGTCATGTAACATTCTTTGCAATATGGTATATACGTGTAGAAATATAACATTCGTACAATATGGTGTATAACAAAAACGACTGCAAACAAGTGGGCCCCGAATTTAATAGCCTATATTCCTTTTTATCTTATCGTTACGACCGAGACTGTGTTTGTGTAGGGGGAGGTCATGTATCCTGAGCAGTGTACGGCCGCCATATATCTTTGCCCAGGCCTGTGCCTTTGTAAGGTCACTCTAGTTTTACCGCCAAAGGAATGAATATTGACCAAATAGGATGCCTACTACTGCTTATGGTATATGAAAACATTCAAACTTTGCCTCCTCCTATGAAAGATCAATAAATGAAACCGGCCTGCTAAATAATAAAGAGTGAACGAGGGAAAATATTTACACAGACTGTGGTAAAAATGTAAGCCCAGAAACATAAAGGACAAGCTCTAAAATAAAAGAATATATGATTGCTGCTTATGTCTGTGGGCATTAGATATTTCAAGTTTCCAACTGCGTCTACTAGCGTCTACAGCAAAGACTGTCTTCGAGTGGGAAAATACTGTCTTCCTTCAATATAAGCAAATTGAAATTTTATATTTCACTATTGAAACGATGTTTCACCGATTATAACGAAAAATTAATCTCCGTTTTGATTGTTTGATAGATTCGTTTTTTTACGGTTTAACAACCCTTTGCAGGTTATCTAAAACAAGAAAATAATGTTTTTAGTAATTCTTTGTTGTTTCTTAGAAATAATAATGATTTACTGATACAAGTCTTACTAATTAACCCATAGCTGGGGGGGTGGATTCATACCTTTCCGATGGGTATTTGCGCGTAAGTGAATATAAGGAACTGGATTTGGAACTCATTATCCATTACACCACCCGCACATCCAAGCTTACAGCTCCTGGTATTCCCGAGCGGTCACCCATCTAGGTAATGACCAGGGTCGACGTTTCTTAACTTCGATAATCCTACGGGAACTGGTGTTTCAACGTGATTTCTACTTTTTCATGAGAAACGTTTATATGAACACAAGCAGTATTAGGTGGATACTTTGAAAGAACATAAACAAGGAAAGTTTTTTATACTTGGTGGGGTCTGGAATTTTAAAATATGTAGTAATCGGGGTTCTTAAGAAATATAGGTGTCCGAAAAATATTTAACGATTCAAAGCTGCATAATTAATACGCATTTGAAATGTTATATTTCACTATCGAAAGGATTTAGAGAAGCGTCCATCCCTGTAATAGCTTAGTATAAGAAACGCTTATATGAACATAAGCAGTATTCTGTGTGTATATATTAACAATAATCCTGGGTATGACAATAAACTACATCCTGCAGCAAGGCCTCTAATCGGGTGATTGGTAGTTTTGAGGAGGGTCGCTATTATTCCCATGTCATCCCTGGCCGTCTTGTATGCGTAAGACATTTCAGATATTTCAAGTGACATTTTAGTCCTCGTTTTCCTCACATCTTCCGTCAAAAATAGTATGCTCAGCATCCTACTGTAGAAGCTCATTACTCTTGCCTTAAATCTCCATTTCATCACACTAGTCCTGGGTATGACGATAAAGGACATCCGACAGCAATGCCTCTGATTGGGATATTTGAGGAGAGTGCAATCACCTCTTAATTCTTGTTGTTCTCAGGCTCACCCTGACCTGGTGTGGTAGCACCTGTTAGGATCCCAGCTATGGAGAAAAAGTTCAAACTGGAGTCAAAACACTATGAAAATATAAAAAAGACATGTTTATAGCAAAAATACCAGCAACACATTTTTGTTAAAGAAATTACTAATGCTCACAAGAAAATTAAATTTCGGCATTAAATGACCCCTATGGAGTTCATTTGCCGCTAAACAATTCATTTTTAAAGGAACATAAACACAAATAGATTTCATCTGTAGTTGTTGGCATACAATTGAGTTCAATATATGTTTATTTGAAGCCATAAAATTGAGTTCAAATTTCGGCATTAAATGACCCATGAGTGTGTTGATATGCCGCTATAACAAAATCAACCAACCAACATACGAACAACTGCTGTTGGTTGTGATTTTATACTAAATTTCCCTCAGTATATGGGCGGTTGCACATATCTGTCAACAAATAAAAGTCAATTCAATCATTTCAAATCTGCGGATAACAACCAATGAACTTTTTAATACGAAATTTCTTACAGTACACAGCTAGAGAGTCACTCAAGGTAGAGGTTACAGTCGGAATTGAAAATAATGAATGAAGTCTGTGTGAACGGAAGAAGAGGTGAAGAAATATCATAATCGGGGGTCTGGATTTTTGTCACTATGCAATAAACTTGTGTATTAATAAAAAAAAATTTCGGAATATTATTTAGCTCCTTCCGGGCGCAGACGTGTATGTACGTTTTTACCGAAAGTGCTTTTTTCAGACACGGACGAAGAAACACGTCAAAAACATAACGTTCAAAATCCAGCTACTGACGTGTTTATACGTCGATCATGATTCTTTTTATGCCCTTCTGGATTTGAAACGATTCCAATTGTCACCTGGTTAGCCACCGCTCCATAACTTCATGGTGCCTCAGTTTCTTATTTAATACCCTAGAATCCCTGACAACCTGACTAAGAAGGCCTTCTGGATATGAGGAATTGGTTACAAAGTCTGGATATAAGGGGTTATATTTAGATTAGAATGAAAGAACTGAAATCAGGTTTAACATTTATTTTCAATGTTTTATAGTAAACAAAATAAGCTAATGGTGAGTGAAATATAACGGAATTGATTTTAAGGAAAAAGAAATAAATGATGTAATGTTAATGAAAATTCATTGAATTAAGTATGCCACGTATGCAAAACAAATAATGTAACGTGGATTTTTTAATCGCTGTTGCATGATGATTCTTTCTCTTCTAATGTCATTCACAACATTTTCCGCATTTCGTCTTGCTTTTGTTCTTGAATCTTTTTTAAACGAAAGACGCTTTTTATCTTTGCGTGCGTTACTACCATCGTCATAACTGAATGCTGGCTTTCTTTCCATAAAACTGACAACCTTTTCAATAGCTTTTTCAATTTCAGTCCAGGTTTCATTACAATCATGCATCTCACCGCTATCTTGTTGCAGATGTGTCTCGTTGTCAACCTTTCTTCTTATTCCCATCACCTTTTTGCACCAATAAAAGCCATTAGGGTGAAATAAGCATAAGCAAATTAACCATAGTAAATTTCCTGAAAAACTGAAATTTCAAATCAGTTACATATAACCCAAATAGTCCATTAGAAACATCAAAATCATATCCGGATATGTGGGCTTCCGGATATGTGGCACTCTGGATATGATGGATTCCGGATATGAGGGATTCCGGATATGCGGCACTCTGGATATGATGGATTCCGGATATGAGGGATTCCGGATATGAGGGATTCCGGATATGAGGGATTCTATTGTAATTTGTTTATGCTCTGGATACGAAAATAAACGTAAAGTCAGCAGATGTGTTCTTTCGATCAGATTCAATTTCAGTATATGAGGGACTCCGGATATGAGGGACTCCGGATATGAGGAACTCCGGATATGAGGGATTCCAGATATGCGGCATTGTACTGTATATTAAAAACAAATAAAAAAATTGTTTGAAAATGAAATGTTTTTCCCAAAGTAATTTGCGGGGAAGAGGTAAATTATTTAAAAAAAAAAAAAAAGCGTAAAATCAATAAATAAGGTGATCTTAATAAAGCCAGGGTGAGTTTTTCTTATAACTAACCCTAATCCAGTACACTACTCACACATACAAGGTTACAGCACCTGGTATTCCCAAGAGGTCACCCATGTAGTTTCTGACAAGATTCGACGTTACTTAACTTCGGTAATAGTACGAGAACCGATGATTGAATGCGATATGGACCTTAAACACCGAGAAATGTGTAAACCATCAGCTATATACAAACGTGTTCTCACATCAATGATTAAATATAGCATCATGCGATGTATCCGACGGATCTTAATCAAGAAAAGCCGTCATCAGATCTTAAAGACTGGCGCTACAGCATCACAAAGAATTTTACCAATTAACTTCTAACAGCAACATCTAAAATGGATAGTACATGTATTTAGAAGGGAAAATAATGACATAATCAAGATATTGACATTCCACACAACATGAGATAAAAGGCTAGTAAGGAAACTCCAATCAATGCTTGAAGAAGCGGTAACAGGTTTTTCTGAAGAAGCGGTAACAGGTTTTTCTGAAGAAGCAGTAACAGGTTTTTCTGTAAGATTGTTTGAACAGAAAGATTTTATAAAAATGCTAACTGTCTGGTCAATGAATGCCGAATGTTTCCTTATAAGGAAACGGCTATCCTCACGATTACGATAAACATAGTAAATTACAAATTGCAGGTATTTGATGGGAAAGCGAAATAGTATTCACTACTTGCATTTACCTTGATAGAGTCCATCAGAGGACGAAACGCGTTGGTAAAGAAAAGTTTTCTTTTTGTCATTGTTCATATTATATTTTAGTTATATCTGAATTCACACACAAACATCTATCTATCTATCTATCTATCTATCTATAATAATAATAATAATAATAATAATAATAATAATAATTATAATAACGGGATCTCTCGTCGGTTTCGACGTATGACGATCTGACAACTTAACCTTATGTGTATAATAATTCTGTTTAGAATCAGTCTAGCTAGAATTTTGCCCGCAATTGAAAGATATCCCCCAATGATTATCACAGACACACCTGAAACCCTTGTTTTTGTAGAAGTGTTTGTTAGAGGCGTCCTTATAATCCTGTGGGACACATCCTGTCTTTCATATCTCCACGAAAAGGAGATGCAACATTTCTACCAATTTTTGGTTACCATGCTTATACACTTCGGGTGGAATAGGATCCTTAGGGGTAGGGGATTTTCCAGATGAGATCTGCTTCATGGAGTCACCTTGACAAGTAGGTTCAAAAGACAACTCCGGATTCTCTGAATTTTGCATAACTGATGTGATGGCTTCCTCATCAGTAACCGGTATCTAGCCTCCCTGCACGAGGGTTGCATGTGGCACAAGGCCGAGTTTAATCATCAGTAACTGGTGGTGTTTAACAGTTTCAAAATGCTCTTTCCAGTGATCTAAATCCGTCAAGAGAGTTTCACCATCTGCCGTGGAGATTGGAGCAACACCACTTTCCTGAGGACCTAAAACACTCTTCAGGCCAGCATAGAAAGCTTTTACGTCCTTTCTATCCGAAGCTTCTTGGAGTTCTGTGGCCTTTTCAAATAGCCAACGCTCTTTCATGGCTCTGAGAGCTCGTTAAACTTGACTTTTGCACTTCTTGTAAGCGATCTTCTTAGTGGATGAATTATTGTCCTCAATCCATGCTTTATGAAAAGAGTGCATTTGATCTATAAACTGCTGAACCTCTCTATTATTGTCATTGAACCAGTCTTATATATATATATATATATATATATATATATATATATATATATATATATGATAAGTTAAAGTATAAATAGTGAACGTTTATCTAATATGTTTCACTTTTATTAAAGATTCATTAGAGGATGACATATAGAAAAAATAAAGAAATTCAGGTATTTTTAATTTAGTGTTGTTTGGTTTTCATTGGTTAATCAGGTTTCGACTTGTTAAACAAACGGTAGAATAATTGGTGGCGTTCTGAATCCAAGGAGAGACGACTGAATCATGTTAGATTTATAAACGTTTCTTTAATTTTTTATCTTGAAATTTTGACTGATTCCGATCCATATATGATGTATATTTTATCTCAACTCACACACACACACACACACACACACACATATATATATATATATATATATATATATATATAAATCGCTTGATGATTAGTAGCGATAATTCCAAGGAGAATATAAATCCACGGAGTACTCCATGTAAGAACAGAGCAATATAATAATGAATGCAGCATCCTTAAAAATCCATTCAGGTGATAATTTATTTCGTGTATCCATCCATCC